ACTCCCCAATGAGATGGCATTACTCTGACTCTATCAACAGTGGTCTATCCGGAAGCTAAAAGAGTAGAAGAGGAATATGAAGCTCACTAAAGTGAAACGCACTACTTTGGCAATTTGTGCAATTTTGTTCTGAAAGCCCTAAAAAGAAAAGGCAACAACGTATTTGGACAAAGACATGGCTGAGCAAACATGGCTACTACGGTCTGTCAAATTTACAGAAAGAACTCCATTTCACCCACACCCCTGCCATGCTTCTGTGTTTTCGTCTGAGAGGAAGGAGAAGAAGAATCTTTGTTTCTGCCTGCCCACTTAGCGATTTGCCCACGACAGCCAACTGAATTTCAAACTTGTTGGATTTTCTCCCGATCTAACGCCCCTCGTTACCCCCTGTACTCTACACGATGCACGATCAGGCTGAAAGTCAGCCCGATCGAAAAATTCTCTCACGACTGGAAAGTTGGCCCGAAAGGGCCAAAAAATCGTACAGTGTAAGCCCGGCTTTAACTGAAAAGACAAAAACACAAGCTCAGTAAGGCTAAAAAAAACAGACCTAAACATAAAACTTAGTCATTCTTTGGATGGACAGAACTGCGAAAAAGATCAGAACATCAATATCCTTTGAAAATGTCAACCATTAATATAGATTAACATAACATTGTATTGAACACATTCGAAAATTTTTATTTGAGTTCTTTTAAAATAACTAAACTCTGTTACAGAAAGGCCGATGGTTAGCTAAGTGTCTTTGTCTTTCTTTTATGTTGGTATGACTTTTCTACTATGTTAGGTGAATACAGCCATTAAATAATTCACCGAAGCGTACAATTTTTTTTTTCCAATTTAAACCTTTAACAAATATAACAAACAGTTACTAACCAATGCAACACAAGGAGGCCAAATCCCAACAGAAACCATTACTTGTAGCTTTAAACCTCCCCTCAAAACTCTCACATTGTCTTTCACATAATAATTTCTTACTGCTTTTGTTAAAGTTGATATTCAGTCCTTCATAATTACATTAAAAGATCCTCAAGTTAATCAGTACTTTATTATAGACCTATTATTCACTGTTGCTTAGTCAAACAAAAAGAGAAAGCAAAGAAAACATAGTCTGAAATCTTTCATTTTTAATTGAACTCAGTCACTTTAAGGTGCATATTTTAGACAGAACTATTGTTATAAAGATTCACATAAGTCCAAAAGCAATTAACAGCAAATATGTGAATTAGCAGGAGACCTGAGAGTAAAAATTATGCATCAGAAAATAAGTGACAGTTTCTATAAGCCTGTCAGTCACAGTGATGGATTATGACTAATTACTCTGCAACCCATGCTGGGCCGTCACTCAGACACGCTGAAGCATGGCTCCCAAACCAACCCCGATCGCTGGCTGAGCCCAGCTGTGGATGAGACGGTAAAACAACCCCCCTCTCAGCAGTGAGTCTCTCCATTTACGCCAAGTAAAGCTGCTGCAGCTGCTTTCAGTGATGCACAAAACATCAGGAGCTCTAAAATAACACAAAGCCCTGAAGGTTAAAAAGCCGCAAAGTTGCCCTGTATTTTCTCCAACAAAGTAAAACGGGTCGTCTTTGCAGAAAGAAGGACCTCAGTCATTTTTTAGTTGTGGCAGCAGTGGTGTGACAGATCTTGGCCCCGGCCTGCAGTATGCATCAACATAAAAGCAGCACACATGGGGGATCTCTACATCTGCTAAGAAAGTGCACATTCACTGGTCAAGCAGTCTGGGGAATTTGAGCATGAGGGTTGGTGAGTTATAGTTATGGTCTTTATCTAGTGAGAGGCTTAGTGCCCTTCTGGGCCTCTTCTGGATTTCGTTCTTTTTGTTTCACAGAGATTCAAGTGAACCTAACTTTAGATCATATACTTATTTCTAAAATCTACTGCCTTTATACTTTTTTTAAGGGCTGCATCTATGTTGCTTGGACCGAACTAAAGGTGGTTCTTGCAGTTCAAACATTTTGCCGTCATCCCAGATTAGAGATGTTCATTAAGTATCTGTATACATACGATGCTTAAAGCATTACTTACCTGTTGAGACCTTATATACTTCACAAATGCTTTATTCACCATAGCCTAAAAAAGCCTGGACCCTTCTGTCCTGGTAAACTGTAGGTTAATCTATAAATTACAGTTTTTTTTAACCATTATTATTAGATTTCCGTTAAGAAGCTAACTTCTACTTTAGATACATGCAGAACTCTGTAAAAATGTCAATTAGGATTAGTTGAAAATCACTCACCAGAAACAATTCTTCTCAGGGAATCTAATTATGCTTTTGGTGCAAAGTGACACGGTACCTAAGCTCAGCCTTTGATACAGTCAAGGTGGAATGAAAATATTTTTCAGTGCTTATATGGTGAAAATCAATTAATTCAGGTTTATTAAAAGATTCTTGTGCAAGATGAAAATATGTGTGTTGCTCTGACTTTCAGAACAATACAATACTTAATTTTTTTACTTAAGGAATGAAAAACAGAAACACAAGAAACACTGAGAGTTACTCAGGAGGTTACAGTAGGAAAAAGATTTCTTGTTTTATCTATTTTATTTTACTTAGACGTTAGAACAGACCAAACAGAAACTCTTCTTAATCAAAACAACATGCTTTTACAATATTCATGACTGAATCTTTTACATTGCTATGAATATATTTTGACTCATTTTGCTTTGTAGATTTTATTTTTATTTGTAGTATAAAGAGCCACAACAACTCAAGCCCTCTTCCAAGTCAGTCAGTGTTTAGCCTTTAATCAGTTTGTGTCATGATTCTGCCTTTTCTGGACGTTTTGGTTCGGTTTAAGCTTCTTTTTGAGTTTACACTTTGATTTATGTCCCTCTGTGTTTTCTAGTCCATTGGTTTCATCTCCATTTTGTGTCATTCTAGTTGTTTTCTGTTTGTAGTTGAGTTCTTATATATTTCTTGTTTTTACTTGCTGTTTTCCCCTTGTGTCCGTCTCCTTTCCCCTAGCTCCCTTCTAGATCCTTCTGTCCACACCTGCTCCCAATCAGTTGATTACTCCATTATTAGTTCTGTTTGGCAAATACACTCCTCCTCTGCAGTTACTGTTTGCTGGATTCTCTTCATTCACTCCTTAACCTGTGTTTCCCCCTGTTCTGGTTCCTGTGTTGCTTGATTGCTTATTGCTGGATTTATGCTTCTTTTGCCAGTTATCAAATCTGCGAGAAGCCACCTCAGCTTCCGTCTCTGTTAAAAGGTGCTCTAAAAACCTCCACACAACCTGACAGCCTGTTTTTTAAGATGATGGCTTGCTTTGGTTTATCATCACTATAAATATAGTCCCGATATATTTATTCAGTTACTCCAAAAGGACATTAACTTAGAGATACGTTTGGTTAAAGCTAAAACCAAATCTATTTTTGTTCAGTCCACCCAGTCCAGGGCAATTACAGCTGGAAAAATAAGCCCAGTTGTTTTTTTTTTTGTTTTTTTGTTTTCCATCCAACAGTTTTTAGTGTGCACTTCATCATCTAATTTGCTCTTTTAAAGATCTCTTGAGAATTAAACATGCTGCAACAGCACTCTGCAAAGGGACCAGCCTCCTTACCAGCAGAATACCCCGAGGAACAGGCAGCCATTTAGGGCCTTATTTTTACTTAGCATGCTGAAAGGAAACCGATATTCCAAAATGTTATAGCACCTCAAAGCCTGAGCTCAGAACATAATGTGGCACATTAGAACCAAAAGTACATACGTTATGTGGAGTTATCTGTTGCCAAACATATGGCAACAGATAACTCTTAGAAAATAAAGCTTTAGGCTAAAGGAAGAAATATATAAATGGCCATGGAGAGACATTTGTTCCAATAGAATAAAAGCAAAGATGAACATGTTTTTAAAAGGTTAATTTGAGGAAAATAATTTAAAACAGGGAACTTTAAAATTCTAAAAAAAAAAAAAAAAAAAAAAAGGCTCTGAAAGCGATTATATTATGCATGCAAAAGTTCGACTAATATTCTTAGAAATATAAAATCTGAAAAAAATGTTTTGAAAACATCTGGAAACGTAACAAAGTGTAAAAATATATATTGTTTTTATAAAGACACATTTATCTCAAATATGTTTTATAGGAAGTTTTTCAAAGTTCCATTTTGGAAACTTTTTTTTTTTTTACTTTTAAAAAATATGTTATTCAAATAAATCAACTTTCAGCCATATTTTTTTTTTTTTGATTTTGGAAACCAGCATTTCAGCTCACACAGCACCTTTTTTCCAGCAGGTGGAGGGTTGAGTTGGTCAGCTAACAGACGCCTGAAGGAGCCTAAGGGTCCAGGGATCAACCACTGTGCTTGCCTGAGAGTTTTCCATCAGCTCTGGCCGCTCAATACTCCCTCAAAGTATGCCAGTAAACAGTGTGGTGGATTATTCTTTGTGATTGTGACTGTCCATACTGTGGATACACATAGTGATATCAATGGTCCTGTGTGTTGAGGTGAATGAGGTAAATGAGCAAACTGACTTTCCACAGGGATGGTATTCTGTGGCCAACCCAGAACCTGCTGGAGGAATGAGCCCTTAGCTGTAGATCCCTAAGGAGGTGGGTGAAGATTACGCCTGGAGCAAGAAATGTTTCCCCCCTGGACCTTTTTTTTTTTTTTTGCCAAGGATAGATGACCTAAATGTTACTTATGGAGCATTTCTCTCCTCTATGGAATCCATGCTCTAAAAACTGTCCAAAAGGAAACTTGTGTTACAAAACGATGCACAAGGATGTCCTTGCTTGCTCCCCTGATAAACCCTTAACCCCAGTGGAGATATTGGAGGGATTCTACAGGAATCTAAACGACCAACGACCCTTAAAAAGTTTGGAGTTTATAACCATTTAGATCTAAGGGTTATTTTATCACTTAGAGGTAAAAATTGGGGCACCGTGTTTGTGTGTGACAGAGTTGGAGACGCGTCATTTGGGCGCACAGAGTGCAGCAGCACAAATCCAACGTTTCCTCCTCTTCCTCAACACCGCCTGCATGCTAATAGAGCAGCTCTGAGTGGGATGAGAAAGCCAGCTTGACTCTGCAAGGTGCTCTGATTTCCTCCAAATCAAACCAGCGAGCCGTCATCAGCGGGACATTTCCTCAGATCTCTGCATAAAGGCTCATACAGGTGACAAACGGTCCAAACTGGAATCAGTGCGTTTTATCCATGGGGGGTGGGGGCTGGTGACCCTCATCGCTACTCTTTCTAAAATTCTTTTATTTTTGTTTTCAATTTCGTGTTGACGCGACGTTCCACTGCGCCGATTTGCACATGCGGACACATATGACGCAGCTGCGCCCCTTTGGCCGCGATTTAATCACAGCCTATAATACGGATATCTGATAATTTTTTTTTGGAGGGGGTCAGGGATGGCGCACCGGAGTGTCCCGTTTTCTAACAAGTTTCCGCTGCTGTTTGGTATGTCCGTCATGTCCGCCCCTTCATGAGCGCCTCTCCGCGTAGAACCAGGCGCAGGTTCCGAAGTTGGCCGGGAATAACAATAAGAGGACTGCGCATCGCTGAGGACGAAGAGCAGAAGTGACAGCGGCTGAATTCCCTACCAGCATCATCAGCATCTCTGCGAGGAATAAAAACTGTGCGGGGGGCTCTGCTGCTGCCCACTCCCTCTTCATCCACACACTTTTTTTTTTTTTGGGTAAGATTTTCTGCAGTGAATCCAAGCGTCTGAAAGCAAAGCTGCGTAAAACTTGGCCAGATCTGGTAACACTGCCGCCTTTGTGCGCAGTCCGGATGGATATGCGCCTCATGGAGGGAATTTAATCATAAGATAAAAAGCAAGGGGGGGATTATTATTATTAGACCCTCTTTTATTTTACCTTCAAAATGGATGCCTACCAAAGGGTTTGGGGACGCCACTGGATAAGCCACCGTTCCGCGATCTGAGAGGCACCTGCGTTTAAAGTTTGGATCAATCTGTCGGTGTAGGATGCAGTCTGGAGCCAAGACGCTCTCCGCAGGTGGAGGGGCGTCACTCTGCTGCCTGCTTCTCCTCTGGCTCATTTACTCACATCTGCTTAGAGAAGGTAAGGGCGAAACCATCCAGCCCGTTTTTATTACTTTCACAGCAGCAACGACCTTTCCAACCATCTACCGGCAAACAGCCGCGCACGACCTGGTCAGATCCATCCATCCATCCATCTGCTTTAAAAACCAACACAGTGCAAAATAAAGCAGCTTTTCAGAGACGGTCTTATAACTTTATTTATAGTGACCTTGTTGATTGCTATGGCCTCTTTGGGATATAATCTGGTACTCATTAACATCCTTATCAAGTCGTAACAGTTAATTTTTGTGTAAGAAAGCGTCATACAGTAAAAGCTGTAGCTTATATTATAGGTCATGGATATAGAAATATTGGTCAATCAGTCAACTTGCAAATTGATTTTCAGGTCAAGTCCTTATGAAAAACAATTTCTTTTATTCTTTAAATAGACAGTGCTTTGTTTCTGAGGGCTGACGGTAATGCACCTGCTCATGGTGTGGTCACATTCCTTCATCCAACGGGAAAAAATTAAAAATAAACCCTCCAGTGCAGAATAAAGCACATTTTAGAACCTCCAGGCTCATTAGTGTATTTATAGTGACCTTGTTGAACCTGATGGTTATAATTTGGTATCTATATAACATCCTCATCGATCTCCATGGTTGATTTTAGGATAAGAAGCCTCACTGCAAAAAACATCTAGAAATAGGTAAAAAAAAAAATCCTAAATTAAGAGTATTTACCCTTAATTTCAGTAGGTACTTTAGATAAGATGATTTGCCAATGGAATTAGTATTTTTACCACTAAAATATGATAAGATATTATGCACTTGAAATAAGACAAAGCAATTGTTTTAAAAAAAAATCTATTTTAAACGTAAATTGTCTTGTAAAATTGGCAAAGTGTCTCAATAGAAGAAAAAATGCACTTAATTTAGATTTCCATTTTTTGCAATGCTACATTTTTATTTGAAAGATGTTTCTTACTGAATCGGTTAAATTTAAACTGAGCCAGCTCATGGTTGTCATATCTTCAAATGCATCAGAACTAGTATTTATGTGCACAAGCACATCAACAAACACAATGATTTTTTGTTTAAAGGTTCAGGAAAAAAACATAAGTATAGAGACATATACTGTTTAAACTACTAAGGTAAAGGTAGAGCTGCATGTGGATGTGATGTTTGATTTTTATTCATTACTGGGGTGATGATTTCAGTCGCAGCTACTTCAACGTTTTTCCTTTGAAATATTCATTTTCAGCAGCATGATGTCCCGACGACTCTCCCTGAACTTTTTGATCTCTGCCACTAAAATTAAGATCAAATGTTGGCACAAAGAGCTGTATTACTTCAGCCAATATATAACGGACAATCAGGGTTTAAATAGATGAAATGCAACAAGTATTGCATTCAGAGCAGTCCTTGGTGATTGTGATATATTAAATTACATATTCCAGTGACAACATCGTGCAGTTAATACATCGTACAGTTCAAAACAATCAAAAACAGAATAGTTTGAGTAATTTTGCTAAATCTTGAGCCAAATATGGACTATTGCAAGTATGAGTTGCAGTGACTATAAGAAAAAAAATAAAGAATTACAAAAAGTAACATAGATTATGAAGCAACATTTTGGATGCAATGAAATAGCTATCCATTCTCTACGGCTTAACCACCACAGCAACATATTCTCATTATCAGTGCGTATGAAATCGTACGAAAAGTTATGAACACTACTTTGTACGTTTTGGACGTTTTTCCTCAAAAAACCACATCAGTGCGCATGCGCTGGCAGACAGAAAAAAAAAAGCTGATCTGCGGACGGACGTAAAACTGGGAAAACAGTGCAATCATCACTTATTCATGTCTTTAACTACGTTGCTTGCTGTTTTATATCTTAGGGTTAGGGTTAGGGCTAATTGTAATTTATATTCTATATTCATGAATCAGATGCGCATGCGCATACGACGAAATTACGGTGCATAACTTTTCGTAGGATTTCATACGCACTCATAATGAGAATAGGTTGACCACAGTGCAACAATTTATCCTGCAGTGAATAAATGAGAGGAAGCCAGAGTACCCAGAAAGATCACAAGTATGCATGGAGATGGTGAAAAAACACACTGCACATAAATGCATCAAAGGAATCCAGAGTGGTTATTCTACTGCTAGACAAATATGTAGAACTTTCTGTCAAGTATTGAGATAAAATGCTGCATTGATATTGCTTTTATTCTGTGAAACATTATTTGTAAGGGATGTAGGATGCAGTCTGCATTTGCATACGGATAGCATTAGACTAAGTGCTACTATCTTTCAGACCCAAAAATGGTACTCAAGTAAGAGTAACACTGCATCATATTTGTACTCAAGTAAGAGTTAGAAGTATCTGGTAAAAAGGCTACTCAAGTACTGACTAACTTATATCTGATATTTAAAATTGTGCAGTAAAGTCAGACCAGAATGTAAAAAGTTTTGTGTAATTTCTGATATTTCAAAGACTATTCTTAAATAATTAAAATAAACAAACAATATACTGGAATTGAAAACCTAAAATTCAAGGTAGAAAACCAATTTGTTTTCTTTTGAACATAAAACTTATAAAACTGGTACCTCCAGTGACGGGATTTACACCTTACTGTATATTAGCTTGACCTCTAAATGGCATTGTAGGTTTAAGTAAGCTTTTGTATAAAAAAATAAAAAACAAGCAAAAAAAAAAAAAAAAAAAAAAAAAAAAAAAAAAAAAAAACATTAATCATGACATAAATATTAAGTCCTTATCTGGAGCACTTATAAAAATATTGTTATTCAGTGAAGATACTCACCATTTATGGAGTAAGTTTACTCAAGTAAGTGTAGCGAGATTTAATTAAGATCTTACTCAAGTAAATGTAAAGATTATGGAGCTTAAAATTCCTCCTAAAACTATAGCTTTGGCATACATTTACTTATGTAATTGCATTTGGGATAAA